TGGCCAAAAATACAGATTTGCCGGCCGGCAGTCGAATGTCAAAAATTCGCACTTTTCGCCAAAATCGGCCTTCAGACCCATGTTTAGGCCAGTATTCTGCCGTGCTAAGGAAAAACGCCGTATGAGCATTCGAGTGTTGCCAAATTGCCTCTCAGGAACTATTTACTTTTGAAGAACTTTCTAAATGTTTATCTTTTAAACTTTTCGGGACTTTAGATCAAATTATGAACGAAACTCTCCTAAAAATGCGCAGAAAAAAATTTACAAACTTCCCCAAAAATTCGTGGTTTATCAAGGGAGATTTGATAACGCCTGAAGGTCCATACGTCGTTTTTCCTTAGCATGGCGGTGGTAGACCCAGTAAAAGACCGGCAATGACAAGTCATAATGCATTCCGTAAAATATAGACTTTTGATGAGCAAAAATTGTAGAGTTGAGGAGATCTAATCAGGGTGGACCCAAAAAGGGCCATGATCGATAACCCCTCGACGGTTTTTTTTCTTTTGCATGTTTGTGTTTCTTCGAAGTTACCTTTATAAAAAACGCATATTTTCAAAATATGTCCGTATTAGTGGTTGCTATAGGGTCCATGAGCTTATTCCTGTGAGACTAAGGCATACTTTTTTACTACAAAGACCAAGGTTCCAAGTTGTTTTCACAACAACTCTGTCCATGCGGGCAATCGATCAAGGTTTTGTACCAAAACTTTATCATTGCTGCATGCAGTGTTTTGGATTAAAGCGAGTCAAAAATATATGTCACTGCATTTTGATGGAGGAACTAAATCAAAACAATCCTTGGCAGCCACTGATTACGTGACCGAGATTCTGCGGCCTAAGTGAAATTTCTCATTGGGATGTCCAAAAGTTTTGAGGGGACCGCAATCTAAAGTCGGTCAATTCCGATCGGAACTTGCTCTTCGAAATATTAATTCTAACTTTTACACGGGGTTCCCAGCTTCATTTTCTCACTCCTTCAAACCGATTCAATTAAAGTGAGCGCGTGCCACAAATTACCAATCTCTGGTAGGTTTAATGGGATTTCGAATTTTAAACGCGATCATTATTTGCGGAAAATATCACCGTAGCACACGAAGTGTAATTTTGACTTCGATGTGTACGTATTGGACCGCAATTAGCAGAAAGGAACCAGCTACATCAGCTATTGTCAAATTTAACTGAGCAACTTAATGTTCTAGTAGAAAACGTATGCGCGGATTTCATTTTCGGATCACAAATTTCAAGGATTTGCTGAGTGCTTGGCAGAAAATTCGCTGAAATTTGCACGAAAATCCGCACAACCGCTTTCATGTAAAAAATTGAATTACCCAATCAAATTTGGCAATATAGCTGATGTGGCTTGGTTCCTCTCCGCTAAACGCGGTCCAATTGCGTGAGTTTAGTTTTCGTCACTTCGGACAAAGTCGTAGTTTTGACTGCGCGGGAACAGGTCAAACATATTTATCGCAGCAGCAAGTTCACAATACATTGCTTTGTGTAGGTTCGACAAAAAATGAAAATCTCTCAAAATTGAGCATTTTATGGGGGAAATTCATCAACGTCTAAGTGTTTATACAGCGATTTTCCCTGGCACTTCTCTTCGCGCGGGCCAGAACCGAGTACCCCCGGTAAAAATTGACAGTAGAATCTGTGTTCCAAAATACCATAGACCTACAGCCGGCTGTAAGAGTTCCAATAGCTTCTGTAGCCGGCTACACAATTTCTTATAGCCTTTTATAGCCGATGGCGACTAAGTAACAGCCAGGCGATAAAGTGTATGCTAAACGTTACTAATTACGGATGCTAGGACTTAGTGAGTTTTTGGAATACTGCTCTCTTTTTGGGCCGTAGTATCTTGATTTATTTTGCGAGGAAAGCTCCGTACTTTTGATGGATGCCTGCCATTACGAATATATTAGAGCGCCTTCAGTTTCGTATGATACTGTGCAATACCTCTGGTGTGAAATAGTTGCTTCAAGCGCCGTGGCAGGCGGGCAGCCAGCGCGAGACACGCATTGGCGCCTACAAACCTAACAGGGATACTTCACGCGTTGCGCAATGCGTGAAGTATCCCTGTTAGGTTTGTAGGCGCCAGTGCGTCGCCGCTCCGCTTTGTGTTAGGCTCTAATATTTAATCTGGCGGAGTCAGCGTTATTCAACACATGATTTTGAAATGTTTGCACATCCTGTATGGATAGTTCTCATTTTAATTGATGAAAAAAAAAAAATATGTATTAAAGGATAATATAATGTGTGTTTTGTAAATATTAAGGTATTCCGTACCAAACTTATTGATTTCCAAAGCACACGAATTTCTACACAATTTCTTATAACCTTTTATAATCGATGGCGAAAAAGCAACAGCCAAGCGATAAAGTGTAAAGCCCGGCGATAGGAACTACAGCCCGGCTGCATAATTTTGTATCGCTTCTTATATAGCCCGGCCGTATGATTTTCTCCGCAATTCCACAGCCAGCTATATGATTTTCTGTAGCCTTCTTTAGCCGGCTATAAGAATTCCTATGGTATTTTGAAAAGCAGCTCTTATCGCCAATTTTTACCAGGCACTTCAATGAGAATTCTATGCAGATCCGTTCTGCGAGGACGCGATCAGTCAAACCGCCTTCATTTTTTGCGTATGCAATAGGGGCATCTTTTGAGCACGAATAATTTCATTCAGGAGTCGTGGTCAACATTGCGTCTCATTCTCTGCCCCCCTAAAGCAATTCTCTGATACGCTGCGAAAATAGAAGGAATGTTTCACGTTTTTTCTTTTTATACCGGCATGACCAAGTCAGAGTCTTGTGCTCTTTGTAGTTGTAGTGACATTTGTCACGTGTCTTGCACGTGTAACTGTACATGTCAGTAGAAATTTGAATTGTTCGAGTCAATTTTGTAGCCTCGGAATGAAGTTACGTTCGCTTCATCGTCTGAAAAATGACGTTATTCGTCTCGCGCTCAAACTCAACTGGCTCAGCGGCTCGTCTCAAACGTCACTTACGGCTCTCTTCCGCAAAACACGGCGGTACTTACAGGAACTCCACTCGGCCGCCCACAAGGTACGTCTGGGCCCTGGAGCTTTGCGAAGTGTAATGGGTTGCTCCGTGCTCAACTCCTCACGCACTCTTCCGACTCCGGCGAGAAGGGTAGATGATTCAAGTGCGGCCGGCATGTCACCGCAACCGGCGTGTCTGGGTAGAAGGCGGCGTGCGCGCAATTAGTCACTTTCCCCCGGCGACCGTACTCCATAGTCATAGACATCGACATCGACATCGGGAGACCCGCGCCCTGAGCTGCTCCCTCGCGCTCCGCCAGTCCGGTCCCAGTTCCCGAGCCGGTTCCCAACGACCCGGGCCTGGCCCAAGTCCAAGTGCAACGCTCTCCGGCCCGTCTTTGTTTACGCCCCGGAAAAGTGCCGCCGCGCCGACCGCAAAAACAACAACAGCACCGCCGCCCTCCTTGACTAAATAGGTACGTTCAACTCAGCGATTAAATACGAAATCCATTGGAAAAATTCACGAGAATTTAGCAGTGTTTTTAACATACTGTCAAGAGTGCACTGGAAAAAGTCCAGACTCTGGAAATATTTAACAAAAAAAAAAAAAAAATACTCTTGATTTAAACGTTTTTTCTTGTGATTCAAGACAAAATCCGATTGAATCAATGATATGTTTTCTCGTCAAATTTTTTCAGAGTGTTTTTTTAGCAGTGTTTTTAAGATGCTGTCAAGATTGCACTGGAAAAAGTCCAGACTCTGAAAACATTTAACAAGAAAAAATACTCTTGATTTAAACGTTTTTTTCTTTCGATTCAAGAAAAACTCCGATTGAATCAATAATATGTATTCTCGTCAATTTTTTTTAGAGTCTAGACTCAGAATCCACGAGCTTTTTTGTCCAGTGTGTGTACTGTGTAAGAGTGTTCTCGGTGGTACTAGTATTCTTGCAAAAATTTTTTTTCAATATTTTCCCGTTAGAAATGCTTCAGATTCTTCTGGTAAGAATGAAATTTGCGAGGAGAAATTTGGCAACATTGAAATGAAGTTACGTTTTTCTATAAAGGAATCGACGAATCAAGAGGCTTGGAGAACGAGGCGCATAAGTGCAGTGTATGGTATTTCGAAAAGTATGGGTGTCTTTAAAGTTTTTCAAAATTACACACAGCCGTTTGGCGGAAGATAGGTTCGAACTTAATTTTTGATGCTTAAGAGTTGGACCTCAGTAGTAAATTTTTCACAGAGTATATTTTGAGACCTGTTTTAAGTAGTTGAGATCATTAATATCTGTTTTTTTCTTCAAAAACTACAATTAAAACTGCAGTTAAAAGAGCACCGTAAAGATATATGTCGAGTGCCGAAGAGGCAACTGGGGATTCCTGGGAATTTCCTTCTGTTTTCTGTGAATTCAACAACTCTTTTCTTCGAGGAAAATAAAGTTTAAAGTATAAAGTCAGAGCAATTCGAGGTTAATAAAGTTGCTGAAGTTACCGGAAAATGGCTACATTACCAGAAAGCCCTGGTTTCATTTTAAAAATTGGCGGGTACGTTTTGCATGAGCTAGGTGCGCTTATATTTCTCTTTACTGAGTAACATGACAATGCATTTAAAAACAGAAGAAAAACTGCGAGCAACTTGTGTATCTACCTCGGGTGAGATCGTGTGATTACAGAGAACAATGCCTACTAAGAACCGATCGCAGTCGCACGTGTATGTCAGCCAGAGTCTCGGTGATTTTTCCAATGTGCCTTAAATTTCACTTTAAAACTGATATCCCCATTATAGAGAGGCTCATCAGTGCTCTGATGAGCTTTTTCCTTCTGCGATGAGAGAATCAGTTTTATACTGAACTTAAACGCACTCGGTAAAATCACCAAGACTCCGGCTAAACAATGCATAGCTGAATCGCAAAGAGTCAGCAATCAAGCGTCTCATACTTCCTGATGTTGAGTTATGAAATGAATGCTCAAGAGTGAAAACTTGTTCTCTCGTCATGAATGTTGCACGGCAGTCCGTTCGCACTGTCAGTGTAGTCTATTCCTCTATCGTATGTCAATTTTTCGCGAAATTTTTTTTCGTCGTCTGAAATTAATGTCATTAATTAACGCAGTAATTCGCCCGACAGTATATTTCCCGGAAACGAAGCTCCAATTTTTTGCGGTTTGAAGTATCATTGGTCGAAGTGGTAGCTTTATTGATGACAAGACATAATGTTGAACAATGTCACAAAACTATTACTTATCTGTTAAGTTTCATCTCCATCCGGATGGAAATATGGCAAAGTTTCTTCTTTCTGTTTTCCGTGATTTAAGTGTTTCGTAGGGTGCTGGTCGGTTGATATGAAGTGAAGTGCAGAGGATTTTTCATGCACTTACATAATGGCGTGGAAAATGTGTATCGCGTTATTTGGTGGAGGAAAGTGGGCGAAAAATCTACCACTAGCTGTGGGTAAGTTTTCTGTCAAAAATCAATGAAGTTTTTATGGTCAAAATTTAGGTATATAAACGAAGTAATCAGAAAAAGCTGCTGTGTGGGAAAAATTGAAGGTTTTAGACACATTATAATTGCCGGAAAATTCTATCATCCTTTTTACGTTAACCTTCCTAGTGCACGTATGTTATTTGCACTTTGGGAAGCATTCCAGTAATTCTTGAGGAAATGTGGGAACTTAACATTTTACTTAACAAAAAGTTAACAGAATTTCTGTATTAATTTAATTAGATTTAGTTGAGCACAAAATGAGGATTAAAATTGTCAGGATTGTATACAGGAGGTGATCGGAATTCAACGTAATATTCAGCGAAGTAGGCAGTGTGGACGACGCGACGCGACAAGCAATGCATTAGGCCTGAGACGTAGATAACTATCGATGTTTCGAGTATATTTCGTAGCATATCTGATAGATTGAAGGCGTTTCGCTGGTTTCTTTCTTAGAAGTGATACCTTACAGTTTACACATATTTTTTCCTGTTCATTTCTTCATTTATTTGTCCGCGTTTTTGCAGATATCTTAAGTGCACATTTTTTAAAAGGGTACAACTGATCATCATTGTAAAATTTTGCGTGAATTTTCATTGCCTACTCAATATTATTCCCCAAAACTTTCGCACCGACATGCCTCACAATGAAAGGCAAAATGTCGCGTGATTTTTATTCGCCTATTCAAGAATATTCTCTGAAAATTTCGCACCAACGTGTTTCACTAGTCACTATGTTTCCTCGAAGAAGAATAAAGGAGGACATTTTCAACATTTTGAGACACCCAAACCGAGATTTGTATTCATGCAGTATCACCTAAGACCTTGAAACCTTGAACCTTGAAACATTGGGCCTTTGGAGTTTGGACACAGCGAAGTCCTGAGGGATAGTCGACTAATTGTCGAACCTTTCAAAGGTCACAAAATCAGCCTCAATTGGAAGTATCAAAGCGGTGACCAAAGTACAAAACCCCGTATCTTTGTTTGCGACGTTGCAAACTTCCTGTCATACGTTAGTTTTTCTTTGGAAAACTATAGTCAACGGAATTTCTCGAATACTTCATCGATTTTTATTTTCGGTCAGCTGAATATTCTATAAAAATATCAAAACATAAATCGACGGTGTAAGTCGGCAATCACATAACTCGGTTTGCGACGTCGCAGAGACTTCCTGTCATACTTTATTTTTTGAACGGAAAACTACTCAACGGCAACTCTTTAAAACTGCCGTGATTTTTCTTCTCTGTGCGAAGAAAATTCTGCATAAATTTCAAAGAATGATGTGAATTTGTTCTCTTTTAAAAAAATAATCTAGAGGCGGAGATTTTCAGACACCGCAAACGAGTTATGTGATTGCCGACTTACACCGTCGAAATGCCTCTTTCTCTTCAAAAAATTAAACAGGAGCGGAAATTTTGAAACAATGCGATGGAGATACGAGGTTTTGCATTTTTGCCGCCGAAGGACAAAATTCACCCGCGTACACTCGCCCACACTGTCAATGAACTTGTTCGTTTAAAGAAAAAAGAGAGTGTCGAACGCGGATTCTTGCATTGTGAACGCATAATTAGCAATGGCATGGCGGGTTTCGCGATATATCGATTGATCTGCCATTTAAACCTATAGAAAAATATCGATAAACATGGTGTTCGTAACGAACACCCTAATAATCGATTCTTTACCATAGCTTTAAATGGGAAAATATCGATACTCGATTATTCACACCTCACCACTGATAATTAGCATGAATGCCTCGTAAAATAAGTTTTGAAAGGAGAGAGAAACGGCTGTTACATCGGGTTTGGTTCAAAGCTGCAGCGAAAAACCATTTTTTGATAGTTATCTTCTTTGTCAAACGTTAAGTAGTGACAATGAAATTTTAGAAAAATAATTAATTTTAGACGCGTCTGACCATCTTTTCAAGACTTTTGTGAGGGTTTGTAAGTGGATGAACCAAGTGAGACAGTTCGTCACGGAACTAAGGAGCTGTACGGACGCTCTATACCTATTGCAAATTTTCCAAAATGTGCAGAAGACATTTACCGCAATTTTTTTGTTTAACGCAGAAAGTACTATCTAAAATAGGGCGGCTTCCACAAATTCTCAACCACTGGCACATATTATTTCTCTACTGAGATAAGTTCATCCTGAATCAACCGAACTACATTTGAGAGGCTTGGAGGAAAAGGGGCGGAAGTGCAGTTTTTGAAAAAAATAGAAATATTAATGATTTCGAGTAAAACTAGTCTTAATGCATTTTCTATGACAAATTCGCTCCATGATTCCAATTTCTGAGCATCAAAAAGTTAGTTTGAACTTTCTTTCCGCCATTAGGATTTATGTAATTACGAAACTTCAAACACGTGTTTCTCGGAATAACAAAAACTCTACTTATATGCCTTGTCCTCCAAGCCCCTCATTTCTTGTTGCCTAATTACCTCTTATTAGTGTATTTTAAGAGAATTTGATGCATACGACGGAAGTATATTATGTTTTATTTTTTTTTAACACGAAGCAATAGACAACAAGAAACTCCTAAAAGTATTTTATGTCGGAAGTAGTTGTGTCCATGGATCTCAGGACAACTCCCAGGATTTCTAGGCTACCAGCATGGATCACTGAAAATTGCATCCAATGACTTCGTATTCTAATGCCAAGTTTTCTTTACTGTTTTTTCTGAAATCTAAATGACTTAAAAATATTGAATCTAGGTCCTCAATTAGATTCGATTGTATTTTACACACATTCAAAGGCAGGAAAAACAGTGTTGTCATCTCACGAGAAAGGTCGCTGGGGCTAATGGATCCTCAAGTTACCATTAAGCATCGATCCCTATTCAGTGGCGTGACGTGCTTTCCGATGTCGTCACCTTCCAGGCAAAGTATCACAAGCGCCATGCGACGTTTAAAAATTTCCGCCGCCATTATATTTTTTTACAGAGAAATTGTTCAACGAAGCTGTCCGAAAATTACACCGAATTTTCTTTGTGCTGCCGATAAAATTTAGTGAAATTTTCGAACAGATTCAACCAACAATTTCTCAGTAAAAAAATAAAATGGCGGCGGAAATTTTTAAACGTCGCATGGCGCTTGTGATACTTTGCCTGGAAGGTGACGATGTGTCGATTGTTCTGTCATTTTAACCTATACAAAAGGATCGATAAACAGGGTGTTTGCAAACGAGCACTTTAATCATCGATTCTTTACGATAGTTACAAACGGGGAAATATTGACAATCGATCATTCACGCCTCGCCACGGTCCATTTTATTTTAATGTGGCAACCACGATACTCTACGATGATTCGACACTTTGCGGTCAAAATAACGTAACTAACTACACATGAAATGAGCCCTGTCGTCCATGTATAGCCGTGCGTTCCCACGGCTCACAGTAAACTGACTTATGCTCTTTTGCAAGAGGGGATCGTGCGGTGGGAGGAAGATCAACCGGTAGAGGGTTTCGATCTTCCTTTGAGGACACACTGCGTCCCATACAAATGACCGTAAACGTAGCCCGTAGTATCGACCGACGTACGATACAAAAGAACGTAAGTGCAATGGAATATCCAAGACAATTACGCCCTTTTGAATATGCTGTTGAATTTTCCTCATTCGAAGTTTGGTCACGTGACTGTCTCATCTCCGGGGCCCGCTGGATCTTCGTGCCTCGGTGGGTATGAGTGATGGTATAATCTCTTGCGTAAAATTTCAAGGGACTAATGTTTTAATCAGGGCTCAGAGTCTTTTGACACTCATCTCGTTTTTACTCCTATTCTTCCTAATGATTTTGAGGCATGATGAAAGAACCCAGGACGGATCGTTTCTGGGACGGAGGTCAAAAGATCCTTCCAGTGCGCGGACCGACGGTAAATTCTTCTCGAGTCCTTTAAGTAATGGAGGCAGTTAAGCTTCCGAAAAAGTCCTCTGTGCGGCAGTAGCAAGAGCAACATGTTTTAGAATTCAAATATTCAGAAAACTATTTTCGAGCGAAGAGCAAATTGCAGTTCCCCTGGTAGCATTTTTCAAGGGACAAATCGCGATATTTCAAAATTAAGTTGCAATATTTTAACGATTTTTGGGCGATGAAGTACCGAGGATCATCAACATCCGAGCGCTTATCCTCAATCTTGTCGCAATTGCATCTCTAATAAATCGCATTCAATAAAATCGAAATTCATCTTAATTTAACACATTTTTGTTTTTGATAATATCGCCATAAATTGCCGTTGATAAAATTGCAATTTTTTTGCAAATTTATGAGATAAAATTGCAATTAACCGCAATTTCTTTTCCGATGATAGTGCAATAAATCGACACCGATAAAATCGCGATACATTCTCCGATCGTATCGCAACTTATCGTGATCACTGCTACTTGCGATAGGGTCCGTTTTTCTGTGAACTTTCAGAAGTTCGATCCTGATCGTTGAATTAGGTTGACGATAAAGCGGGAATATCAATAACTAAACGAGAAACCGAAAGAAATCGAAACCGTCAACAGGACGTTCGCTACTTAGCGAGTTTCTCCAGTCCAATTGGATTTTCAGCAGTGTGGTTTACCGCTTCGTTGCGATTCAATTTATGGTGTTGCAAAATTCACGGAATCCTAGGACACTTATTATCGACCAACCTGTCTTTTCTGTAAAGAGCCTTCATCTAAAGCCCCCGATTTCCCGCTAACGAAGATTGCGCTTAGTTATTGTATCCTTCGTGATATGCCAAACCTGATTTTCTTTATGAGCAGATTTCACAATTTCACGGAGGAAAAAATTGACCAAAATTTGCTACAACTTTGAAAGGGTCATTTGAATTTACTTTGGGCTCTTGAATCCACCTTTAGTTTTGCCAATCACCCCTCAATTTTTCGAGAAGTCTAATTTTTCGCAGAAAAAATGGGCGTTCTTAAGCATTCAAGGCAATCATACACCTGTTTTTCTTTGCAAATTGGATTTAAACCTTTTCTGGTGTGCTT